ACAGTCGCGCTAGCGAGTACATACCATAGTGGATGCCATCGTAGAGGAGCAAGACTCGCTACACACACACGCACACGCACACGCACACACACACACACACGCACACACACACACACAACGCACGCACGCACGTGAAGAGACGATTAATCACAAGCAATGTCAAGTCGTTCCTGCCCATGGGAGCCAAGGTCGGCCGTGCCTCGGGATAGCCTTCGCCTTGGCCGTAGACGTCGGTACGCAGACTCTGCACGTCCACAGCCGCAATCTCCGTCTGGTAGTACTTACACAGAATCGAGAGCTCGATGGCGCCTGCGCGACGCAGGTAAGTGTGAGTAGGAGAGTAGTGGTAAGCCGAGTGCTGAGCCTCAGCGAGGCGCAGAGAGGGATGGGTACCGCCCCAGCTTTCGGGGTTGAGAATGAACTTGACGTAGTCTTCGTTGGATTGATCCAGGAACACGGCGTTGTAGGTCTCTGGGTCTGGAGATGCCTCAGTTGCACCAATCTACACCAACACATTGAAGGGTTAGGTCGAGCATACCACTCTTGACCACGTCGGCTATGACCTGCCGCAGCTTGAGGCCCGCATCACGGTTGTGATCCTCCAGCACATATCTGTACAAAAAGAGAAGAATAAATAATTAAATAAATGCAAAAATGTAAATGAAATGAAATAAAATAAAGGGGTTGTGGTGACCGTACCCCAGCGAGGTGAACAGGCAGTGGTTGTTTGCTGCCACAACGCGCCGTATGACCTCGCCCTCGGTGTTCAGGCCCGCCACCACCCTCGGCCCTTGTGCCCGAGGTGCCACCAGCAGCTTCGCACCACCTTGCGCCGCCGGGAGTGAGCAGGTGGATGGGGGGGAGGGGTGCGTCACAGTGGGGGTGCTGGCAGTGGCCGTGCGTATCTGGTGGAGGTACCAACCTTGCATGGTGTTGTTCCGTTCTGATGATTTTAATATTTTGGTTATTTTCTCCCCTTATTTCTTGGGAGAACCTAATCTCTGACCATCCACGAAATCAATCAAGTCTTCACAAGCCAGTCGCGTCTGAGGTGGCCTGCCTCAGGCAGCAGGTGTGCATCCTCAAGGCCAATCTCCCGACCATCAACACGACACCAACAAGTACCACCTTTCTCCCCATTGTCGGTCGGCGGTAACTGAGGTGAAATTGGAGGTCACCACACCTATGACTCTGACACGCCGGCGTCCGAAAGAACGAAAGCGTAGGGCGCAACAAAGAACGAAAGAGAAGAGCTGAGGTAAGCGCAGCAAGGAGCCAAGAGTGCGCTGGTGACAAGTTAGCCTCGCCCAAGGGGCTGAGTCACTGCTCCCGGCCCTCCTCCTCTCATCACTCTTGAGACCTTACCACACTTCGTCCGTAGATCTAAGTAGAGGAGGACTCGGTTCTCTATTTTGTTGGCCCACTGTCGGTTCGCAGGCAGAGAAGGAAATTTCACCCAGTTTGGATTACTGGCGCCAAGAAAGAAACCACACCACTTTCATGCGGTTCTTGGGGACTGTGTCAGGTGGTCCACCGCATGCCCTGACGCACTACTCACGGATGAGCTCATCGCGGTTCTGGATATCTCCTCTTCTCTCTTCTCCTTTCTTTTGTACCACTTCTTCTGTCTGCCAGAACGACCACTTAAAAAACACAATACAGCACCACTCTGTGCCCTTCAACCCACGCCTTCCACCCAAAAGCCATACATAGTCAAGTGCTGCAAGAAAAAGATGTATCCCAAGCCCGAACTACACGCTGAGACACGCATAGTGATCAGCCCCATTGCAGGTACCTGCCACCACCTGGTTGGGTCCGCTGATGGTGGTTGACCGACCACTGAGTGTTTGGCCGTCCACCACGTCGCTTCAGCTCCCTCCATTATGGGCCTGTTCGGCTACGGATCGGCTGCAATGGTGACCGGGTCATGGCTGGCCGGGTGGTGGGGCGACGCCAGCTCTCCCTTGTACAGCCCTCCCGTTCCATATTTGCCATTCTCCAGCTCACTCCTTCGCTTCCCCCTCTTCGCAATGCAATCCTCTCTTTCGCTCTTTGTCTTCGTCTTCGCGCTCAGCTACTTCGCTCCGTTCGTGCTCCTGTACGGCGGAATCGTGCAACTACTCGCCGCCCTATGGTCCTTCCGAGCCAGGCACGACCCTCACTGCTCCTCGCAGCCCTCTCTGAGCCTGAACCCGTCCTAATAGCAACTCTTTTCCTGCGGACGACAGGGACGCGTTGGCTGTCGGTATGCACTCGGCCTGGGGCTCGTACTGGACCGCATACGGCATCCTGCAGCTCTTGATTGGTTCGTTTTCCCGCCTGCTGAGAGAGGTCAGCGCTGAACTGAATTGGGAGGTTGCGGACACAGGCACAGGGCTGTTGGCCCCACCGCCGGACAACTTCGGGGCGTTTGCCATCTGGTTCGTACCGCTTGCTGCCATCACATGGATAGGTACAGCCCTCTCCTTCCTTTCTCGTCAACACACTGTCGTTGGTTTTCTGACCAACATGACATCATCGCGCAGGAACCATCTTGTCCCTGACGCAGAGCATCGGGTTGGCAGCCGTGCTGGGCACGCTGGCCCTGTCATCCACACTCTTTGCTGTCGGGAACTGGGTACCGCAACCCGATGAGTCCTCCCTGCTCTCAGGCAACAGCGTATTCTGACTTGTGTCCTCCGTACGCCCAAGGTGAGCGGGTATACGGTCGTGGTGAATCGGGTGGGCGGCTACGTCCTCTTCATCTCGTCCATCTTGGCCCTCTACGTCGGCACCGCCCTCATGGTGGCCAACGAGACCGGTACGTGATCATCTTCCCCCATTTTCATTTTCATCGACCGCCACCATCTGATGGGCTTCTTCCTTGCGCGCCTTGGGCAGGCTACGTGTTCCCTCCCGTGTTTGTGATGCCCAAGTCACGGCGCAGGGTGCCCGTGGCCACTGGTGCTGGCGAGCCCGGAGTCAAGAAGGGACAATAATAGTTGTTTTGTTATTTAAAGGTTGCTGTTCATGCTATGTTCATGTTATGTACAAGTTGGGTGCGCCCAGGCCGTTTCGTTATCATTATTGGTCTCTCTAGAGCTCAAGCGCCTCTTGCATGGAGGACTCCTCTTCCTCCTGCTCCTGCTGTTGATGACCGGCCGAGTCGACGGGCTGGGAGGACACAGTGCTGGTGCCCACGGGTTGGGGGCAGTGCAGGTTGGCCGGGTATTCCGCCATCGGCTGTCGAATCACGCGCACCACCTGAAGGAGCAGTACACCACCATCACCAAAACATAACATAAGACGCGTGTAAGTCGTGCGTGTCGTGCGTGTCGTGTGCGTACCTTCTGGAGAATGTCTTTGACGGTCTGTGTGCAGTTCCACCCCAGGGACAACACGCCGTGGTGCAGAAAGCCGTCGGAGAAGACGTTCGGGTGGCTCCGGTTGCACTTGAACCGCACCACTGCACACGTGACGCAACGCGGTTGCACATCAGCACACATGTGGGCCGCAGAATGACGGGGGGGAGGAGAGAGAGAGAGAGCGGTACGAGGTGGGTCGTTGGGGTAGTCGTCGTTGAAGAGCAGGGTGAAAGCCGACAGACCCTCGTCGATCTCCTCGCCCATGAGGGATCTGACCTTGGCCGTCCACATGAGCGGATTGAGGTTGTCCTGGATGGCGTTCACATCCTGCGGCTCAAAGCTGTCAGCTTCTGGCCAACGCAACTCACACACAGCACACACTCGATGGCGCACACGACATAATGCAACACACGACGCGAACGCGGTGCTGTACCGGGAGGGGGTGATCGTGCAGCTCCTGCTGGTCGTTGCGAAGGCGCAGAGCAGCGGACGAGGGTCGCATGTAATTTTCCTGCAGCTTGCTCTCGATTAGGAGTTGATCCCCGGTCCCCGTGATGTCGCACTCTGTGGTGTGCGATCGGGGTTGAAGGACAGAAGAGAGAAGCCAGAGCCGTGAGCCAACGCCAGACGATACGAAATATAGAAGGGTAAGGCAAACCTTCGATGGCGAGCGAGCCGTAGATCTCCTGGAGCAAGTCGGGGTAGTAGAGCATGAGGTCCCTGAACTCGTCTGTCTTCTCCAGCTCGCCCCAGTGCGCCAACACGAATGAAATGCACTGAATGCAACGATAACAGTTAACTCATAACGCGCGACACACGACACACACGACACACCACACACGACGCAACACACGACACACCACACACCACACACCACACACCACACGACACACGACACACGACACACCACACAGGGCATACGACGGATACCTGATTGCGCAGATCCTCGGATATGTTGAAGGCGGTGAGGAGGCGGATGGCGGTGGGCAGGGAGAAGGATGAGGCGAGGCGCTCCTCGCACAGCTTTTTGAGTCCGCCCAATTGAAACCTTTCGGCGGCCAACAGCAACTCGACCAGGTCGACCGACTGTTTCCACACAAAAAATGGAAAGAACGAAGAAGACGAAGCAAAGAACGAAGACGGGAGAGTGAGCGAAACAAAACGAAAAGAAGCAATGAACGAATGCGAGAAAGGAGGAACGGTACGCGATCGGCAAAGTCGACGTCGTTGATGTAGACATACTTGAGCATGGCCAGGAAGGTGTGCGAGCTGAGCTCCTTGATCTCCACCACGGGCTTCTCCTCGCGGCTCTCCTTGAGTCCGCACGAGAAGAGCCGCGCAAAGTACTCCGACCGCGAGGCCAAGATCACCTGCGTGTGTAGTCGTTACGCCTCTATCACTTGGAACTTTTAGGTGGCGGCGGGAGTGTACCTTGTGGCCGTAGCAGGTGACTCCTTCGTCGGGGAACACGAACTGGACGTCCGAGTAGTCGCTGTTGTTCAGCGCACAGCCCAAGTTCAACGCCGAGTGCCTTGACAGAAGAAGAAGAAGCAGAAAGAAGTGAGCGTCACTTTTGCACATGAACCAGGGAGAGGTGCTTGGGGAGTGACGGTACGTGGCTTCTGCGGGGATGGCGTAGGTCGTGCAGCGAGAGACCACGGGCTTGAGTGTGATCTCCTCGTTTGAGAAAGGCGTCCCTGTGCGGGCGAAATGGGAGGCCCAGTCCGACGCAGTCACCCTAGTGACGGGCGTGAGGAGCCCTGCAAGAATAAAAACAGACGTTAATACTCTGTTAGGCGACACATCACCACACACGCACACGCACGCACGCACGCACGCACGCACGCACGCACGCACGCACGCACGCACGCACGCACGCACGCACGCACGCACAGAGAGAGAGAGTGCATGTACCGAGATCTATGCGAAGCTGAACAAAGAGCTGCCCAGCATCAATGCCCAACGCCTTCATGGTGTGGCTCTGACCATTGACAAAGATCTGCCCGAAGACCTTGGCGCGAGAGTAGGTCAGATTGAATCGCTCCTGATCGCCCACCGCGTCGCCGTCGTCATCGTTCTGGTCGTCCTCAGCAGCAGCCGATTGGTCCGCCTTCTCCTTGCCCTTCACGCTCCTATTCTTGTCGACATCGCTTCGCTCCTCCTCGACCTGGTTGAGGGCCTCCTCGAGCGCCGCCAGCTCGAAACGGCGCCGCTTGGCCTTCCGCTTTCCGCTGTCGCTGGGCGTCGCCGCGTCGCCGCCAGACTGCAGCGTCTGTTCGCCGCCGTTCTCGCCCAGCTTTCGCTTCTGGCGCGAGTGGAGCGTTTGCCAGAGCGTGGCGTCGACCGGCGACAGCACCGGCCAGGCTGACGGTACCAAAGTGGTCGACGCCGCAGCATTGCTCGGATTCACAAACAACTCGTGGCTGCTCGACGATGTGCTCGAGGTGGTTGTCGTTGACATCATTCTGCCCGTTTCGGACTCCACGCTCATGCCCTCGCTCTCGCTGTCGTCGTCCGATTCGTCGATCATCGACGACGACGTCCGCGTCAGGCGCAGCGCCTCTCTCGCTTCGTCTTCGTGGCTCATGAACCGCGCGCCGGGCCAGGCCAGGAAGAACTTGTCCTCGATCTTGCGCTGGATCACGCCATCGCTGCGCCACATTCTGTCGCCCAGCCTACTAAAGATCGCGTTGAGAATCTCCTTGGCCGCCGCGTCAACGCCATTGGTGATGTGGCCGCGCACGATCACCTTGATCGCGCGCTGGACCATCTCGCGTATGACCTCGCGCCGGGCGAGCTCTTCTCCGAGGCGCGCGTAGACCTGGCCGAGGTACCGCAGGCTGAGGCCGGCCCGGTGGAGGTGGTCGGCGATGGTGTCCGGGGCCAGCGCGAACGTCTCGTCGCCGTCCTTCCCGCGGCAGGCGCTGTCCAGCGCTAGGGCGACGTCGACCACCTTTGTCCGCAGGAGCGCTCGCACCGTCCGCAAGTACTTGCGTCGACCGATCGGGTCTTTGGCCTGGCTGCAGAGCAGCGGCGTACTATTGAAACAATGAAATAACAAATTTCTGTTTGATCGCCGAGTAACTCGCCCACACACGACACACACACACACACACACAGCCGAGGTACCTGAAGGGCCTGGGGTGAATTGTGAGCAGTTCAGGCCGAACATCGTCAGGGAACAGTTGCTGCAGATTGTCGAGCACAAACATGTCCTTTGCCGGCGCCTTATAGCCTAAAGGGTACGACACATGTCTGGTTAGCTGCCTTTCGTGCTTGTGCGTGTTCGTCTGTGCGTGTCCATACCCTTGAGGAGCCACGGTTGCGCTCGCAAGATGACATTGGAGTCGTTCACGGTCACCAGCTTCTTGAAATCGCACCGCAGGTTGAGAGCTGGAAAGAAGAAAGTAATTAAGGTTGTGTGATTGTGTGAGATTTGCCACTGCAACGCTCGAAATTGAGCCAGTGTGTGGTGTGGGTAGTGTACCCTTGGCCAGCTGCAGGATCCTGCCCGTGAGCTTGTCTTCATCACTCTGAGTGGGAGAAGGGGTGCCGTCACTGCCGCCCAGCGACAGCACTTTCTCCACGGAATAGACCGCGCTGGCGCAGAAGAAGAGACCCCCGAACTCGACCACCGCCGACTGCGCACAGTACAAATCCACGGTGAACAATTCTCACATTCCTTAAACTCACTCACCCTACGTACCAGCGGGATCAGCACACCGTTGATCTTGCAGTCCAACACCTCTTGCCGGACCCTAGTGCCGTTCATTAGTCTTGAGAACCATCAATCATCCAACAAGATGATGCAGAGAATGGAGGCGCTTGGTGAGGTGGTCACCTTACCTGAAGAAGCGGCTGGCCTGGGCGCTGGAGCTGACCTGCTGGAAGCGGATGCCGCCGGTGGCGTAGACGTCCTCCCCAGGCCCCACCGCGTATCTGCACTCTCCAGAAGCACCAGGCCTCTGAGGTAAGCCATTGTATGTGTGCGTAGAGGGTAGGAAGTACTAAACGCACCCGTTGAACTTGAATGCTGAGTGGGATTTCTTAGAATTGAAGATCTTGCTGACGCCCTGCCTCACAGCAACTATGAACTGCTCGCGCAGCTTCTGGATCTGGTCGTTTTTCTGTGTGAAGAGGTTGTGCGTAAGACCTCAGAACTGCCAACGCTTTGGGTTGAGCGAGTGGTGTCTCACACCTGAGCACACGACAGCGTGGGGTCCAACAGTGCCATCATCAGCTGCATGGTCCAGTCCCGCTCCTTGATCTGCTCGTCCCACCACTTACGCTTGTGTTGTTCCTGGTTTGTGTGTGTTGTGTGTGTGTCCGCATTAATGAGGATGGGGTGAAGAAATGCCAAGCATCATCTTTGTGGAGTACCTCTTCTATTCTGCACTGGGCCAAGTGCCTGGCGTGATCCCGCAGTTTGCCCCTTTCCTCTCGCCTCTTCGCGGCTTCTCGAGGCGAGGCGGCCAGGAGGGCTCCGGTGGTGCTGCTATTGTTGTCGTAGAGGCGCCAAGCCAAGTCGTCTCCGCCAAAGAGGTTCTCGTCGTCGTTGTCTTCGTTTTCATCGATGCCAACAAATAGGGCTAGCGGAAGCGAGGCGACGCACGAGATTGCGCTGCG